ACAGTATAATCGGACATATGAACAGTATAATCAGACATATGAATATATGTATATTGGACACATGAACAGTATAATCAAACATATGAACAGTATAATCGGACATATGAATATATGTATATTGGACATATGAACAGTATATTGCACACATGAACAGTTCTGATGACTACCTTATCAACTGAAAATCTAATTTTAAACATTATGGCACTATGAACAACTTTTTGTGATTTATTTTACAGAATGATGAATCAGTGAAGATAACGTTTACCTACTATGGCCCAACTTTGAGAGGTTTACTCTTGCTACAGGACATGTCTAATCACCAGAGGCTACATGGGAAACTGCCGCCAATAAAAAACTTATCGCCTGCATCAAGTCCAATTAAACCCCCATCAAGACAAAGACGACGAAGGATGAGACGTCAGGTAAAAATGTCTTCAAGTCAAGAAAATAGTCCACTGTCCAGCTCACCATTGAGAACTCTTACAAGGCAAGACGGGAGAGAGGAGTCCTGTTCACCACTTTATTCACCCTTAAGAACCCCACCAAGCAGAGAAAATAGCAGGGACTCACCACTACTATCACCATTAAAGCTTTTTCCAGACAGAGGAGCATCACTACGGTTATCTCCCCTGGAAATCCAACCAAGCGGAGGGAATAAAATAGCATCACATCTTCCAACAGTACTGAAAAAGCAGACACCAAGAAGAAGGGCAAAGAAAGCACCACCATTAAAAGCTCCAGCTAGTTACAAGAAAGAAGAACAGATACGCATCACAGTAAATTCGCCAAATGAAACCTCACCATTGAAAAATGCAGCAATCCATGGAGTAACAACACCAAAGCAAACTCCCCCAAGTCGTGGAAAAGGGAGCAGGCCATCAAGCCGAGGAAAAAGGGCAAACACGCCTGGCATAAAGACACACAACATGTTACAGTCGCGTCTGAGTCTGCGTTCTCGGCAACGCTCTGGTAAAACCAGCGATCAACAGAATGAGGAAAACAAAGACAGGGAATCTGCAGGGTTAGAACGTGAAGTAGAGTTAGAGGCAACTGAAAGTGAAAGTTGCAACTCCATTGAAATCCTTGAGGCATTGACAAATCAGAAATTATTAGCAGCCATCACTGGAAAAGCATCTCAGCACACAAAGATAATGAAAAAGCAGTTGAATACAGCATACAGCGTAGAGCATATGATAACAAAGAGAAAGGAAAAACTGAAAAATTCAAGGGCTGCAAGACATGTGCGATTTGCAAGGCCACCTGAGCCTAATGAGACAAAAGGCAAAAAGGGGCGTAAGGGAAATCATCGAATGAAAGAGATTCCAGAAAAACCAGATAGCGCCGATGCCAAAAATTCACCACTGGCAACCTACATGCGTCGCAAAGCATTGAAAAACAAATCTGAGGAAAGCATCACAGACATATCACTACAAGAGTTCATTATGATGGAATACGACTTTTTTAAGCAAAGAATACCATCAGATTTTAAATTAGACTGTTTGCATGGGGTTCTTGGTTTTGTCATTCGAAAGGAACAAGTTACAACAACTAGGGGTTATAATAGTTTTACAAGCATTACTATAAATAAGCCCCCTTTTGGAAAGGACCATCAAGCTCAGAAGCGACAGTATGTTTATCAATGTTCTACTCTACCTTAATAGTGTCTGTTTTTTGTGAATCAAGACTTAGTGTAATATGGTTTGTCAAGATTTATTAAAACTTTTTTCTTAGTTTTCTCTTATGTTGTATACTATATATTGTTTGTTCATGTTGTTGCTACGTCAACCCAATAATGTTAAAAAGATGGATCCATACAAGGCATGACAGAAACCTGTATCTTATAGTTAATTACATTAACAGGTATGCACTTGTAGTAATTATTCCGTTGTGTCATCACACAAAGATGATATGCACGAGACAGACAATTGATTGTGGTTGATGTTGATTCTTTTATGTGAATTAATAATAGGGAACAAACAATGAGTAAAATCTGTATTAGAAACCGTGGCTTCTATTAAAATAGTACAATGCAACAGAAGGGATGCTGCTTCTATTCGAGCAACAACACATATAAGAGATGAGTTTTTGATTCTCAATTATTCAAAAAGAATGTGTGTGACTTTGATTAGAAATGCAAATTCTAATACAGATTTTACAGTATATGTTTTTATTCATTTTCTGCAATTTCTTCACGACATTCATTGCATGGTTTTTCCATGGCCTATGTATGTGTGAGTCAATTGGTGAAAACATTATTTCATGGACATGTGACATCATGCCACACCCACTCTGGCATTAAGTTTTTCATGGTGCATTTAATAAATTGTTGATCATCAAGTGGAAGTATTGAGCTTATAGTTCTGTATGCCCCAATAGAAAAATCTGAAGTAGATACACAATATAAAATAACAAAATGTAGAAATTACTGAGAAGATCAGGTTTATCTACAAAAACACATAGGTTCATATATTCAGGGATACCCACTCCCTCGTATATGCAGCAGGTGAGTCTCTATGTCATCCAAATCCAGGTTAGCATCGGGTCTTTAGTGTGCTTTAATTTTGTGCAAGACAAGTCTTCTGAATTTTACAAATTGCAAAATCTTTACGTATTTTTATTTAATCGATGATGACAACACATGTTGAAAACTCATGGGTAGACGCTTGTTTGTAAACAACGACACGCTATGACCATCTGACGCATGCGCAGATGACGACTCCCCCGCTTTAATACTCCTTAATTCAAAATCAAAATGAGAACATACACAATTCTCAACATGCCTTGCTCTACAACAATATCTTCAAATCAAAAGCAACTGCTCAACAACAGATATAAATAGATCAGACACAGTACAAGCACACATTGTTCAATAATGTGTTTTGGGGAATAAATTTATATAGATATTTACATTTAATGTGACAAATGGAAAAAAAAAAATCACTGCTTTAAGTGAGGTCATCCCATCTGATGCATACACACGTCCAGCTTGAATTGTAATACATTTGATAAAATGGTACACATAGAGTATTATAATCATTTAAGGATGAGACCCAGGTTCGTGGCATATTTTTGGACATTTTTTGTTGTTGCATATTTTCAAATGTTGCAAGGTTGTCTTCACACTAGTAAAACAGTCTGTTAGGTACATATATTGAATTCCAAAACGAAAGGAGTGTATGTACACACACTTAGTCTTTAGGCCAACTTAGAATGCAAAGAAATGACAATACACAGAAATGAAATATAGCAAAAATCAGTGCAGTTCGACAATTGGATAGTGACACCAAAATAAAGTAGTGCTTAGACATGATGTTGTTTACTTTAAATGTAAGAAGTCACATGAGTCGTCACTGGGTATTGGTAAACATGCACCACCAATTTGAGGACAGATTGTTATTGATCCATTATTATTATAGCTGTACTTTGTAGTAAACAAAACAAATGTTGAACTGTCAAACTGAATCAATTTCCACTGTAGCTTAGGAATGAAAAGGTGCAAGCTGGTAATATAAGCTGGGAATATTGAAAGAATTAATTATCAGAGATTCATTTAAGTTATGCTAATCCAAATCATCCATATCATGTGGCAATTTCATTCCCATAGAATGCAATAGATTGGATGTAGGTCCAGCTAATCCTTGCTGTGAACTATAGGATTCTAATAAATTCTTCAGTAAATTAACGTCTACATCAACTGCTGGAATGTCTTCTGGTTCCTCTGAACCACCATATTTTGCATCTTCTTGCTCATCTTGTGATGTTGTTTTCGATGATGTTGGTTTCTATAAACAAATTTAAGTGAAGACAGCATATGATGACATCACCACAGCATATGATGACATCACCACAGCATATGATGACATCACCACAGCATATGATGACATCACCACAGCATATGATGACATCACCAGTTGTGAGTACAAGAAAAAGCTATTAAAAAATATGGTTTGTATTTCAATACAATTCTCTACCACAATATAACCATTGAAGTGCATATATTAATGAGGGGTTTGTTTAAAGGGGTTACTAATAGTCCCAGGGATTGCAATGTAAAATTATACTACAACATAACGAGGGAGATTGACAGAGAACCAACAGAGATAAAATTTGGTTTGACATCACTTTTCGCATTATTTTGATTTTGACACCTGTCAGTCAGAACGTAAAGACCTCTTTCACTACTACCATACACTCTTACCTTTTCTGTCTGCTTTTCAAAACTTTTCCCCATCATAGTTTGTGATAATTCTCGATCCATTTGCTCCATCATTTCTTTCATCTCTGCTGCTTCTCCTTCTAATTCATCATCATCTTAAAAATAAAGAACAACTATCTAAGCCTTGCCCGTATAAGAAAGTCAGATTTGTGAGGAGATTTTTGTTTTACATCTGTGAATAAAAAAACAGATTTTTCTTGGCAAGTTTGGCCATTATTTGTGTTCCATGTCAAAATACATAAATGAAGCAGCAATACATAAACTAAAAAGCTTCTGTTAATGATAGTTTTAGCCATGGTGGCTAATACTACAATGTTTTTCTAACTGGCTTAGTCACTTTGCAAACAAGATGATGACTATCATGAACCAGATTTAGTCACTTCGCAAGGCAGTTAGGACTTAATCTGTTGAGTTTAATGACAGAAATACCTCAGAACAGAAATCACACAACAGCTAATGATGTAAAATTACTTCCGCTTTTTGCATTAATTTAATTGACTTCTAAATTGTCTTTATTTGTGGTTGACTTTTATTCAATTATTACATTCTAAATTTTCCAAACAGTGGTAATAAAATATCTTAAGCTATGACCTATACTAACAAATATGAATGTAAACTTATCTGGGGGCGCTGTTCCTTAAAGAGTCATGCACCCTCTATTCTGCGCAAGACGTCAACATGGTGGACAATGTAAACATTACGTCAACCATCAAGGAAAGTCACCAATATATTTTTTCTAAGATACATGTATTTCATATTATTATACTATGTGTGAAAAACTTACACTTGTTTTGATTTTGAACATGAAAATATTAGCTCACCATCAAGATCATACTCCTCTTCCTCATCATCGTCTAGGAAACCACTTGAATCATCACCACTGTCATCACTCTTTGGTTCTCTGAATCCTTGAAGCAATGAAATTATTTTTTTATTCTTTATACACACAGCACTGATAAATAATGTAATTATCATAACGTAGTTTTTAGAAAAGATGAAGCAAATATCAAAGACCCAATATATAAGTCGTATAGAATTAATAATAACAAGCAGCCTGTCGGCTGAGATAGCTCCGCTGTTAGCAATGCACATTGCAATTAAAGAACTGAAGATATCATTAGAAAATTAACAATATGTATAGTATCAAGACAATCGGACTTGCTGTTTTCAACAAGAAGTCAAAAATATCACTTTTTACCAAAAATTACAAAAATATTCACTAAAATTAGAGAATTAAAGATATCATCATGAAATGAAAAAATGTGAGAGATGTCCACATGTACCCGATTCTGCTGTAAATTTGCCCAGGGCCGTTAAACAGTTTGGGTTTTTAAAAAAATAAATTGGGACCAGTTTTTTTAAAGTGCTATTTTAATCTTTTCTGATGCCTAAAAGTTTCGCCGTAGTCACATCAAGAGTTTTGATGTGTATTGCAACTAGCGTGAATGGGTTAGCTTCGTTTCGACAATGAGTTGTTATCGCTGTAAATAATGTTAAATTATTCTTCAAATGCTCAGTTTATCTTTTGAAAACAACTTTTTTTTTTAAAACAAATCATGTCGCTTTCCCATCAAAATCCAAGCCAAAAGATCGTACAACAACATCGGCAAATCTCTTCCACGCTGGGTTCAATAACATTAACATATTTAAATGTGTTATGGTAATTTGAACACGTTGGCATCATCCATCGTTTTCATTGGTTAATTATCGATTTGACCTGTCAGGTCAGGTAAAACATGGCGGATATTTATTTTTACAGCATCGAGCGCTGAAAAATGTGATCGGAATCATTCACTTACGATGAAATAAGTTGAAATTTATTTGCATTCCATAACAATTCAACGAATTTATTTTTTGCACGTTATTATAATCATTACTAGGTAATAATCAACAATTGTAAAACGCAGCATGACCGGATTGCACTACCACGATCATTCACTACGAAGCAATGCAGTTGTGTTCATTGTTATTTGAAACTTCTTTTAGAATATACTTTCGTTACTACTAAATAATGAAACAAAATAATTGTATTTGGCGCACGATGTTCGTTAATGTGATTTTATTGGAGAAAGATGCGCAGTCTACTTATTAATCCAGCATTCAATTTTAGTTTCTTTCATTTTGGGGTGGTCCAACTGCCAGTGTTGAAAGTCGGCGTAGGTGGATTTTTCAATGAAAATATAAGCCCCCTAAAAATATTTGATGATAATTTTTTTGGAAATTTGAACCCCAGGGCGATTTTTCGGATGGGCGAATTTACGGCAGAATCCGGTAGTAGCTATATATATATATATATAATAGCAAAACAATCAAAACTGCGGTTTTTAATAAGAAGTCGAAAATCACTTTTTATCAAAAATGACAAAAATATTCACCAAAATTACTGAATTGAAGATATCATCACAAATAGAACAAATCTGAGAGAGGTCCACATGTAGTACCTAGATATGTAATATCAAAGCAATTGGACTTG